TTAAACTTTGCGAAATACCAAGTTCCCTCCTTTATCGTTTCGAGTGTATTCTTCGTTATATTCGACTTTAGAATCATCCTCATCGTCATTATCGTAATCGTCATCGGAGTGCCAATGTCTCGTGTCGTTCACGAGATTCCTCGTGAGCAAATTTAAAATATATGTATGTGTGTATGTATGTATATTTGATTTAAAATAATCGTTCTATTTTTTCAAACGATTTCTTTTAACAACTATGGCTGTCCTTTAAAGAATAAAAGCAAAAGTTCAAATATCAATCATGCTTCTCGATGCACGTCAACAAATTTAATATTTTTCCACGTCCTCGTCCATCCTTCGTGCATGGCCTAGTTGGCTTCGCGTAAAAAGGGCTCGGCTCTAAATCGGGATCAGGTTTACACTGCCCATCTTTCGGTCTAAGTTTATCGACCATCCGATAATATAACGGTTTATCGTGTCCAAAAAAAAAAAAGGAAAAAGTAAAGGAAAGAAAGGGGTTCTTCCTCTTTTTTTTCTTCTTTTTTTCTTCTTTTTTTCTTCTTTTTTTTTCTCTCATTATGATCGACCCGAATAAGAAAAATAATGGAACACATTTTCGGGATATATAGAAGTAAGCTCTTTCCTTTTCTTTTTTTTTCTCTCTTTTTTCTTTTCTTTTTTTTCTCTCTTTTTTCTTCCTTTTTTTTTTTTTTTGTATTCCCCTCAACACGTTCCTCGTTTTTCACTTGTACGCTGCTCTGGAAGCTCAGGACGGCACGAAGAGTGCAGCATGCAGCCAGGCATGCGGCGGGGGCTTTCGTGCGTGGAATAGGCTCAAGGCTACATCGGTGTATCGCCGACTAACTACTCACGGCTTGCTGCTTGCTTGCTGCGCTTATCCGTCGATCCGTGGCCTGCTACCTGCTTACCTGTCCGAACGCAACTCGATCGTATTCACCACCATCCGAGCCGATTTACTCTTCTTCATTGTTTTTCAAGCTCTTCGCCATCACGGGGAAAATTAAATTTTACGAGTTTACGATTTTATCCGATAGATCGTCGTTACTTTTCCTTCCTTTCTTTTTACAATTTACTTTGGTTAAATTATTCTTGAAATGGCTTATAAAAATTGTAAAATAATATAAAAATATGTTATTGTCGTTTCGAGTAAGCGTCGATCCGTAGGAGAGAAGAAGAAGGAAAAAAAAAAAAATAGCAAGCGAGTTCCCTACGTAAGCGGAATTCCGGTCTAGTACACATACGAAGCGATGCCTTCGGTTTTTCCCCTTGTTCTCTTGCGCAAAACTCGTCGAGTTTCGTAAAAGGGACTTTAAAACTCGCGCGTTCTCGAGGGGGAGAAAAAAAAGAAAAGAAAAGAAAAGAAAAGAAAAATATTCAAAGGAAAGAAAGTGTGATACGAAAGATTTCGAAGAAGCGAACAAATAGAAGAACATTTTTTATATATATATGTATGTATATATGTATGTATGTATGTATGTATGTATATGTATGTATGTATATGTATTTTTAGAGGAAGGGTTGAAATATGATTTTAAAAAATGGCGACGGTATAAGGAGGGCGCCACCAGTGACGCCGGACACACGATGGTCGCCGCGACGCCGGCGATCGTATGAGGGCGATGAGAAGGGGCGACCAGGGGTTGGGGTGGGGACCGGGGATCCGTGCTAAAGCGAATGGAGTCGACCATGAAGGGAGGGGGAGTGCGCGAAGTGCGGTCAAGTGTACTGGGTAACTGGGTCAACGAGAAAACTGAGAGACTTTACTCCAGCGCGAGTGAGCGCACACAACGTGTACCTTCCTCCTCTTCGTGCTTACCGATATCCCTTTTAATCCTACTCGAAAGCTTTCTACACGTTCATCGATGACTTGTCTATTCGAATTGTTCAAAGAAATGAACAAATTTAATTGAAACAATACCTTAATAAGTATCTTCGAATAATATAATAAGTCTATAATGAATAAATATTAATTAATAAATGGTTTATGTATGATGAATGTTTTAATTGGTATTTTAAATGAATCAATCTATCATTAGTAATGAGATCTCGTAATAATCGTTCAAGTCGATCATGTATCTATATTGTCTTTGCACGTATCTCGAAGATATGAAGGGAAAAAGAAGGGAAAGAAAAAAAAAAGAAAAGAAAAGAAAAAGAAAAAAGAATGAAAACGGTCGCATGTCGTCTGCGAAAAATGAAAGAGAGTTCGAACTCATAACCTCCTAATGTACATCGTAGAATCAGTCAGTGAGAGAGAAATCGGGTCACTTATATCAAACTGACCTACATATCGTTATCATCGGCGTTATCACCTTTGATAAAGCGTTTATTAATCATACGATTAAACCGACGAAAGTTGTTTCAGGGACGTCATCATTGCCCCTTCTTTTTTATTCTTTGTCCCTGCACTTTATAGTCCCTTTTGCTATATGGTCTTGAATATTATCGTCGTCGTCGTCCTCGTCATCGTCGTCGTCGTCGTTGTCGTCGTCGTTCTTGC